CTTTAGGTGTTCCGTATGTACCTAACACCTTGCCGGAGGATTATTGTGTTTATTGACTGCATGTGCCTCTAGGGCAGAGTAGGTGTCTAGAAAAATACTTACTGAACAAAAAGTTTGAAACGACCATAATGATCAGAACAGCCCTGTTACCAAATATTAGCATAGAAAGTGAACAGGGCTTTATTATTTTTACCTCTTCCCACACAACGGCCTCAGGCTGCTGAGGTCAGGCTCATTCCCCCAAGTAATTAATGATGTTCACTTGTTGTTTGTGAAGCCGAGCAATTCAATACGATGATGGAGGGAAATCATTTCATTTCTGGATACTAATTCCAGTAGCAGCTGCTTCCTGCTAACAGAGAAATATGCCTGTGCTAACAACTTCACACTTCCAGCAAAAACATTTCACCGTGGTACACACTCAGCTGTTTGAGGACAAATGTGGGGTGTTTGTTTTCTTCCAGGAGACGCAGAAACGTTAATCAGAGTTGACTCATTCCGTTTCTACAGGCATTTCTACTTACATATCTGATGATTTTCCTAGCTGAACAGCATTTTCTATTTTGAGTGGCAGAGCATTATGTCAGAGGATAGTATCTTCATCACTTCTGCTCATGGAATGCGTCCAGAGCTTCCCTAGTTGGAGCATTTTCAAAAGTGAAAAACTCGAGGGTGGTCTTGCCGTGTGTGTGTATAAAATGAACACATCTGTGTATATTGGTAATTGAAAAAAAGTTTGCAAAACAATATATACAACTTGAACCAACCCCAAATTTTTTTTTGTAAGATTTTATTTTGAGAGAGAGAGCACTAGAGAGAAAGCGAGCAAGCACAAGTGGGGGACAGAGGAAGAGGGAGAAGCAGACTTCCTGCTGAGCAGGGAGCCCGATGTGGGGCTCGATCCCAGGACCCTGAGATTATGACCTGAGCAGAAGGTAGACGCTCAACCAACTGAGCCACCCAGACACCCTTGGACCCATGATTTTTTAAAACAGACATCCTTGCTCGCTCGCTCTTTCTCCCCCCTCCCTTTCCCTCTCCCTCTCTCTTCCCCTTCCCTCCCTCTCCCTCTCCCTCCCTCCCTCACATACATAACATCTTGTAAACTCACTGGATTAACTGTTTTGTCTGGGTATAAAGTGAGATTAACAGGTAGCGTTTAGTTTCTTCTTTGCACCATCTGTGTCCCCTAGTGTTTCTTCAGTTAGTACCATTCTTGTAATGAAAAGTGAAATGTGTAAGAGGACAAGCCTCAGAGTTTCAGGGAACAGAGCTGTAAAATCTTTGATTTTGTATTTGAAATAGAAGCACCCATAGCTTTTGAAAGCTGCTGCTCAGCAGCAGACCTGCCTTCCCTCGACTCACTGTCCAGATGCCTGGACTGAGTGATACACATACTATAGAGAGGTAGCTTTGGAATAATTGTTTAGAAACCTCATTTTTTTAACAGTATCTTGAGTCCCCAGCCCCCATTACCATGACTGCAGCTTTGATTCAGGCCCCCATTGTTGCTCATCCATCTCACGGCCTCGGCCTCCTCCCCCGCCACCCTCCTGAATGCACGGGATCTACTCACTGCTCTGGTGAACCCCCTTCATGAGATTGCCAGAGCCACTGGAGCAGGAATTTGAGCTCCAGAGCACCCCAGGCGCTTCTCCAAACCCCCCCTAACCTCCCTATAAGCATCATTGCTGCCCTGGTCTTTCCCTCTGCCCCCCAGGTACCTGCACCTGTTCCTCCTCACTGTTCCCCCTCTGGGTCCTGCAGGGCTGAGGCTGCCTCCGTGCAGCACTCCCCAGTCAGGATCTACATTCTAGGTCTGTGCCTCTGTGTGTTTCCCGTAGCTGCTTGATGGCAGAGTGCTTTCCCTTTGTGCCTGGAACGTTGCAGAGGCTCATTAACTGTTTAGCCAAATAAATAAGTAAACAGGTATAGCAAAGAGGCTTCTAAAATTTCTCATCAGTTACAGGAGTAACTGGGGGAAAGGCCCCCAACACCCCCTGGGGTGTGAGCCACAGAAGGGAGGCCAGTGCCCGTCACCGCCCAGCAGAGGGAGCTGCAGGCATAGTGGCAGGAGCTGGTCTGAAGGAGCCTGGAAGCAGAACTTGGAGTCGTGGTACAGACTGGGGTTTTTATTCTGCAGGAAGGACGTAATAAATACATGCTTTCTTTGCTTTGTTTTTTCTTTCCTTTACTAAAACAATATGAAGCATTTCCTAAACTGTACACAGTGATGTAGCCCAGGGAGATTCACTTAGTCTTACTTTGATTTTAGTCTGCCAAAATGCCAAGAAGATTATACCTTCCTTAATCAACATGCCTATAAATTAGTACTACATGTTGAGAACGTGCTTTGAAATTTTGGGGAGTCATACAAATCAGAGTTTCTGTTATTACTCTCGTTTATTTCTGAGCCTTCTGGGGCCTTGGTCTGCAGACTTTGGTTGAGCATACCATACTCTACTTTCTGATACTCGTGGGCTCAGATTTGGCAATGTTGGCTGCTTCAGCGGTCAAAAATTGTGTTCTTTGCTCCTCAAATTGATATTTGGGGTGACAGGTCATTTGTCAGAAATCTCACGAGCATTTGGGGGAAGAACACTATATTGTAGGCGAGATGTACCCGTGTCAAATGAAGTGCATGTTGATATGATAATGGTGGGCTGGTAGGCTTGACAAAACTCCAAGGGAAATAAATATTCTACATCCTCACGATTGGAGTTGTGGGCCAACCGTGAAAGGACTCAAACTGTTTATAACCCTCATCATCACAAGCTTCCCGGTAATATATACTCTGAGGTCATCCATGCTTAGGGATGAGAGGTGAATAGTACTGTTTAACTTTTCTGAATACTAATATTAAGTATTTTTCTCCCCTCTGAAAGTTTTATATCTGTTGGTGAAGTTGTTTAGAAGCACTGGAGTAACATAGATTTGGGGAGGAAAAAAAATCATTCACATTCAAATGAGAATGGTGTCTAAACCATTAGACATTTCCCTACGTACCATTAGGCACGTAGACATTTCACTCCTTGGTCAGCTCCTCTAGGAAGCAGGCATGCTGGCATCGGCCACTTAATTCTTTAAGTCTTTCTAAGAGATTTCTCAACTTAGGATAAGAAACCTAAACTTCTTATTATGCATAATCATCTTAAGCTCGGGAAGTTCTTCCTTATGTCTGGCTCAGATCTTGCACAATGTGAGTGCATTTCTTCTTCATCTGGGCAGATGGAAAACAGCTGTCCTGCCTGCCCCTGTAACCGCCTTTCATGTTCTCGAGGATGGTCATTAAATCTTTCCCTGGTCTTCTTTCCCCGGAACTAAATAGTGCCTTCAACCAATCTTCAAAGTGCCCATTTTCCACTCCTTTAATCATCTCCTCATCTCTCCTAAGCTTTTCTCCGTCCCTCTTTAAGTGCGGATGCCAAATTGGAACACAGTATTCTGTGGAAAGTCTCCCAGTGAACGGGACCACTACCTGTTCAGGCTGTCCCACATGATTGTCATCTTAGCAGCATCCAGAAGGATGAGATGCAGGACCATTCCTTTTGCAGTAGGGGGTTAGGGGAGGGGGACCTCGAGGTGGCTGCAGCTGTGGGTTTTGGAGTCGGGCCTGTGGCAAACCAAATCCCAGATCCATTCGGAGAAAACTTTGCAGGCCTGCAAACCCCTGCCTCCTGCTTCTGGGTTTGGCAGCCAGTTCTGTAGCACAGGACTCCCTGCCCTGGTTCTCATTCCTCTGAGGCAGAACTGTCCCAAGAGGGATTTCCTGGCTGGTGTCCATGGCTGAGTCAAACCATACGTGCAGTAAACATGAAGTCCCTTGGGGTCTCTCACTTCCAACCCCCAGACAGCTTGCTTTGGAATAGATTCAAGACAAGAGGGATTGTTTTCTGTGTCTAATCTCATTGAAGTCACAGAAGGAGGAGGATCTCAAAAACTGTTGGGCGAGTGCAGGAAGGTAAACAATTTAATTGCCCAGTGTCCGTCATCAAGAATGGGAGCCACGGCAATGGGAGTCATTGACATTGTCTTGATCATGCACCATCTCTGCTACTCGGGACTTTGGGTCACTGGCATGCGACCTTTCCTACACTCTCCCCCTTTGTTTTCCCCCAAAATTTAAGTTCCTGGGGGTGTAAATGGCCCTGGCGTGGGGATTTTCAGGATCACAGCTATCAGTCTGAAACAGGAATACAGGAGTAGGGAGTTCTGTGGCTTCCTTCAGCAGGCTTGTCGTATTCAAGTGAAGCCCAGCCTGGGCACGTAGACATTTCACTCCTTGGTCAGCTCCTCTAGGAAGCAGGCATGCTGGCATCGGCCACTGGCCAACATGTGACCTTACAAATATAGCAGGAGACATGAAAGAGTTTTGACAGAGTGAGTCTGCAGCAAGACTCCCATGTAGGCAAAGCCTAAATTAGCATAACTATCTAAATCCTGCAGGGTCTGAATGAGTTATATATGTGACCAAGAGATTTGCTGATAGATGATATGAAGTCCTTATTATATTTTCCCTCTCTCCAGATTTTGGGGCTCGTTAAGCAGTGTCTCACAGGTCAATTATCTTTGCACGTTCGAGAAAAGTACTAAATTTTCCATTGCAACCCAAATCTGCGGATCCGTGAGACCTCAGGTTTGGGCTCATTAATAACTGGAGTCATTTTGAATCCACTGCATTTCACAGTACGGTTGAGAGTGCCAAAGATTCATGCTTGGGTGTGTATAAGTTCAGAAAGGTGCGTTTCCATTGAGCATGCCCACTCTTCATTGCAAGTGAGGTGGATTGTCTTAGTTCCATTCTGATTAATCACCAGGATATTTATGTACAGTTAAACAACAATTGTAAGATTTTTTTCCTTAGGCGAGATTCAGAATTCTAACGGAGTAAATGAGACTCCATCACATGTGCTGCATGAGACTGTGCACCTGCCCTATAGGGCTCTGACGCTGAGGTGAGAGTGCAATGCAACGTGTAACTCCCTCACTTTCTCTTCTAGTCTAACAGGCAACCGGCCAAGTTGAACCTTCTCACCTGCCAAGTAAAACCAAATGCCGAGGACAAGAAGTCCTTTGACCTGATATCACGTGAGTCGTTTTTCTCTCCAGGTCATTCGCTGTGGCTTCTGACCCTGGGCATCTCCGCGTCTGGGCGTGGAAGCAGCAGCTTTCCCAAGGCCTGGCCCCTGGTATTTCTGCATGGGCAGCTCTCTTCATTTACCCTGAGCCCACCCACGGCGGGGAAGGCAGAACAGTGTCAGATCTGACCTGCAGTAGAATCAAATGGAGATTTATACATTAAACTAGACCAGTTCTTGATCATGAGCCTACAGCTTTGTGCCCTTGGAGAGATGTTTCTAAGGAATTTCAGTGTCACTCCTAGATCTGCTGAATCACAGTCTTTGATGTGAAGGCCAGACATAAATATTTTTTAAGAAGTCCCAGGTGATTCTGATGTGTATCTGTGGTTAAGAACCTCTGACATAGACTTGAGAATGCAGGTGTGCCACTATAACCGTATAAGAGTTATAACTGTGCCCAGAGTTTTGTCCCTGCAAAATAGGGCTCTTAAAAAATCATCTTGCTTCCAAGTAGAACTGCCTTCCCACTTCCCGAACGGAAGACACTGCATCCCATCACTCTTTCTCTTTTTTTTCTTTAAAGATTTTTATTTATTCATGAGAAACACAGAGAGAGAGGCAGAGGCAGAGACAGAGGAAGAAGCAGGCTCCTTGTAGGGAGCCCGATGCGTGGGACTCGATCCCTGGACCCGGGATCATGCCCTGAGCCGAAGGCAGATGCTGAGCCACCCAGGCATCCCCCCATCACTCTCTTAATCCATGGGTCATTGTGTGCTTTTCTCTTGTGATGAGGGCACATAATGATCCTCCCATCCTCCGACTTATGGCCTGTGTCCTCGTGGTCTTCAGAGAGTGAGGAAAGATTGTTTTCCTCTAGACTGACTCCCTGTGCTTACACTGATCCTGGGCATGCTCTTATGGAGTACCTTCAGGTACCCGAGAAGGGACACCTTTTTATAAAGGAGGAGGATGATAGTGCCAATAAGGTGACTCACCTATATTATGAATCTCTGCACATTAACTTTCAGTATTCTTTCTTCTCTCTAAAGCCCCATAGGGCTGTCCAAGAGTGCAAGTGCATGATGTGTGTGCAGAACACCGAAGCACTTTCCTGCCCCTTGAAATCCTTCTGATGTAGTTGGGTGAATGGAAGCCCCAAAACAGTTTCAACCCAAGGGACTGAATCTTTCATGAGACCCTTTAGATGGAGTCCAAACTGGATTATGCAGCATCTCTTAAAGTTCAGAGTCCCCATGATTCTTTATGACCAAGAAATTTATCAGGTTATTGATGAGAAAGAAATATGAAAAGTCGGGAGTTATAATATGACTTTGAAAAGCTAAAACTCCTAGAAGTGAGAACCTGTAGGTTATTAATAACACCCATCAATCATTGAGCATCTGATATGTCCTGGTGCTCTATATACATTATGGCCATGCCTCACAAAAGCCCTATCAGATTCCTATTTTATGGAAGAGGAAACTGAGGCTCAGAGATATTCAGTGACTTACCCAAGGTCACACAGCAGTAAAGAGGTTGAATCTGGTTCAGCCAAGCCTCTTGGGCTCACTGTGCATGGCGTGTTCTTGGACAAGCATATTCTTTGCTTCTCTCGAGGAGATGAGGGGTGTGAGTACCTGACCTGGACTAGACATGTTGTGAGTGAATAAGGAAGAGTTAGTTCAACCTGAATATGTTGAAACATTCTAGCAAATCTGGAATTTTAAGGAAGAGCCTCCCTTGTGTGCAGCTGCCCAAACTATCCAAATTAGCCTGTTGCCTCCTAACCTGGGCAGCAGCTTAAAAGTGAACCTTGAGCAGAGTCAAAGCCCTTCCTCCCTGGAGCCTGATTCAGCCAGAGAGTAACATGGGGCTGCGTATGCCTATTTGGTGGAGCTGCCCGCCCCGTGAGTTAACGAATCATTTCAGAAAAGTCATCTTTTTTTTTTTTTTTTTTTTTTTTTTTTTTTAAGGAAACATAGTAAAAGACACATTGAAAATGAAAAGTCAGGGCACCTGGGTGGATCAGTGTTTGCGTGTCTGCCTTTGGCTCAGGTCATGACCCCAGGGTCCTGGTATCAAGTGCTCCATCAGGCTTCCCGCAAGGAGCCTGCTTCTCCCTCTGCCTGTGTCTCTGCCTCTCTTTCTGTGTCTCTCATGAATAAATAAAATCTTCAAAAAAAAAAAAAAAGAAGAAGAAGAAGAAGAAAATGAAAAGTCACATACTGAACTGGTAACATACAGTCTCTAGTTTGGTCACTGACATCCGCTATGATCATGGAAGATCTATCCCTCTTTCTGTCTCTTCTTCAGAAGAAGTGCCAGATGTTTGGTATTTGCCATTATTTTATTGTACTCCTGTTGCACTTCAGAAAAATAATATTGACAAAGTGGATTGTATAACTGCTAAATCAGAATGGTATAAAAATAAGATAATATTAAAACCTTACTTTTGCTGTGTTTTGTTTTGTTTTTTTTCCCAGAAACTTTCAAAATTTACATTATATCTGAAGGTATTCCACTTTCTTAAAGTTTCACTTATTTTCTTTTTTGTATTTTAGATAATAGGACATATCACTTTCAGGCAGAAGATGAGCAGGATTATGTAGCGTAAGTAGTTTTTGACATAATGGCACAATATCTTCAACTGAAAAGATGCCTCTATCCTGTGCACCGTACCTTAAAAATGTCCTTTTTGTTTCTGAGAACCTCTCCTGAGGGTTCCACATGCTTCTGTCTCACCTCTGGACCTTCACAGCCTTTCCTGTCTCTGTCCAGGTGCTCAGTAAATTCCGGTACTTCCTGCAAGATTCAGCTCAAGCCTCACCATCCCAGGACTCTGTTCCTTCCTCCTACCCCTGGGCCTCCTCACGTTCCTCAGTGATCCCCTGGTTCGGTCTGAGCCCTGTAAAGACAGAGAACTCTTGAGGGCAAGAACTGTGCCATACTCACTTTAATCACACTGCCTGCACTCAGGAGGGGCTTACCTGGTACTGAGCCTGTCTGCCTGGATACTTGGCTCTTAACTGCAAGGGGGGAGGAGAGCCTGGCCCCAAGGGAGCAGGATGGGCAGGTGACTCCTGTGGGTGAGCCTGGCTCAGAGCCGGGGGTAGAGAGGAGAACTGGCTTTGCTGTCACACTCTCCTGGGTAGACTCCCACCTCACCTGACCAGGTATGCAACCTCAGGCAGCTCCCACTGCCTTTCTTCATATTGTCCCTAGTCCTGGGCCATCCTCATTCTCTCTTCTTCCTGTAGCCTGCCAGGCAGTGTGGAACCATTACATCCTCAGCTGCTTGGGAGAAAGGGAGGATGTTTGTGTTGGAGCTGGCAGTTAGGCCTTTGTGTGGCATTCCCATTTTCAAAGCCCTATCCCATTGGTGACACACAATAAATGTTATTTTCCTGAATTTTTCTGGAGAGCCACAGAATTCTGTTCACTTCCTTCCTCTCTCCCTCTTCCCTCTCTGGAGAATCCCACTCTTTCCCCATTTCAGGAGAAATGGTAAAGGGTCAGAAAGAGAATAAGGAATGGGTCAGAAAGATGCACAGTTGAGAGACACATAGCAAAAAAAAAAAAAAAAACGCTGAGGAGGCAGCTCTGAGAGGGAAGGTAGGAGAGGTGAAGGAGAAGGAGGAGAAAAGTCTCGGACCCATTCATTCATCTGAAGATTTTGTGAACCCTGATTCCAGACCAAAAACTGCAAATTGTGAGACTACGGGGCTAAGTGAGAACCCCTGCTCTGAAGAAAGTCGGTCTGTGCTGGAAGAGAAGGCAGGGGACAGGGTGCTGTGGGAACACGGGGACACGCACCCTCTCGGGTGGTTCTTGGGAGTGTTACTCAGAGATGACTCCCAAGAGGAGAGGAAGCAGCCCAAGCTGGCTGCTGAGGGTGCGGGAAGGTTATAAATACTCTGCACGCTAGGTGCAGGTTTTGCTGGCCTGGAAGCAACAGGGAGGAATAGAAAGGAAGCAGTTGATGTCTATTGCTGATCTGAGGTTGGCCAACTGGCAAGTGGCTAGGAAAGAAATAAGAGCAGGAGGGCTGGCCTTCCACCTGCGGACTCAGGTAGTATTTACTGAGATCATACTGTGCTTAATGCAGACCTTGTCAATCCTCACAACCACCCTAGAAAGCAGAGGCTATTATCTCCAGTTTGAAAATGAGGGCTCTGAGAGGTAGTGTACCTGTGGTCACAGTCCCAGGAGCCTGGGGGGCTTATGGTCAAGTTAGGGAAGGAGGTCCTTCGGCCCAGTGGGTATCTCGTCGCCCTCAGTATTGGTGCTCACTGTGAGCCAGCAGCGCTTCACTCACCATATCTTTACTCATTTCAGTCACGAGGTTGGCTTGATTATGCCCATTTTGCAGATTAAACAAACTAAGCCAGGTTAAGGGACTTGTTTCACTGCTTCTTCCTCTCTTTTTTTCCACCTTCCCTGAATCCCTATGCGGGAGAACAGGTAAGAGATTGGTGTGAGAGAGGGAACACATCTGCTTCTTTGTTCGAATTTCAAACCCAAGCTGTAGTATTGTCTTTACTCGGTGACTTAACAAGAATTCAGTCCCAGTTTGATGAAAGAGGCACAGGCTTCTCACCCATGGGACTTAACACCCTTTAGTAAAAGGCTGGCTTGGCCCATCCAGCAGCTGCTGCACATTTGCACTTGGCCTTCTCTGGGGTTGGTGGTGGTGACAGGAGGTTTCGTTTTGAATGATGTCGGAGGGAATGGCATTCTGCAGAGGAAGTGCACACACACCCCCAGAGGAGGCTTCAGTTCCTCATTTACTTCCATGCTACATAGAGACAGCTTCAGAGTGTCACTGAGTTTCTTTCTCATGTGAAGGTGTCCAGTAAAATTAAACAGAACTGCGTTCTCACTGAGGGAGCAGGAAGATGCCAGAAATAGAGCAGCTGCATTTTTTTTTTCTTTTTTTAAAGATTTTAGTTAGGAGTGCCTGGGTGGCTCATTTGGTTAGTTAGGCATCTGCCTTCAGCTCAGATCATGATCCCAGGGTCCAGGGATCAAGCCCTGCATCGGGCTCCCTGCTCCATGGGGAGCCTACTTCTCCCTCTTCCTCTGCCTACTGTTCCCCCTGCTTGTGTGCTCTCTCTCTCTTTCTCTCTCTCTGTCAAATTAATAAATAAAATCTTTAAAAAAAAATAGAAAATAAGGATTTTGAAAATGAGAGAGAGAGCACCAGCACAGAGGGAGAGGGAGATGTAGACTCCCTGCTGAGCAGAGAGCCCAGTGTGGGGCTCCATCCCAGGATCTGGGATCCTGACCTGAGCCAAAAGCAGATGCTTCACCAACTGAGCCACCCAGGAGCCCCTGCATGTTTGTTTCAAGTCAGGCTGAAGACTTCTGGTCCAGACTGCGCCCCTAGTGGCCTTTTGAACTTGAGCGGATCATCCCACCTCAGCCTTGTCAGTAAGAAGGGGATTACAGACCTAGCTCCTCGCAGGGCTTTGAGACTGGAGATACGATGCATAAAACTCCTAGTACAGTGCCAACATTATTAATCCTGTAAACTCCAAGCAACCTTAGAATCTTAAAATACAACGATGCATTATTTTCTTATACTTTTTGGCATGCTTGTTCCTTTAATTTTAAGTTTGTTTTTTAATTGTCAGAGATGGCTTTGGTTCTAAGTATCAGTACCAACTTACGGACGTACGTACATACTTATTTATTTATTTATTATTATTTATTTATTTATTTATTTATTTATTTATCCGTCTGTCCTGATCTCTTGAGTGAGGAGGTAAATGTGGCATCATGAAGGAACCCTGGAAAGGGGAATCAGTGAGAATGTCTCTGTCCAGTGTGACACCGGTCCTGCTGGAGGACCTTGCAAGTCATAAACATTTCTAGGCCTGTGCTTCCTCCTCTAAAAGAACTGTCACCCCCAACTCAGAGGCTTGCTGGAGGATTATATCTCAAATATCATAAAGGGGAGACGCCTGAGTGATTCAGTCGATAAAGCATCATATTCTTGATTTCAGCTCAGTTCATGACCTCAAGGTCATGAGATAAGCCCTGTATCAGGTTCTGTACAGGACGTGGAGTCTGCTTGAGATTTTCTCTCTCTCTCTGTCCCTCCCCCCCACCACCTCTCGTGCTCACACTGTCTCAAAAAACAACAACAACAACAAAACCTAAGTCCTTGGTACGCAGTCGATCAGATCCTGGTATATTAGATAGCTGAAATGCCATAATACTTGAGGAAGGCAAAGCAGAGACTCTGCAGACAGACTGAAAACTCCAGTAACATGGTGCCACTGGTTAAATACACTGTTGAGCCCAGTGTTTTGAATTGTTTTTAAAGATTTATTTATTTATTCATGAGAGAGAGAGAGGCAGAGACATAGAGAGAGAGAAGCAGGCTCCTCGCAGGGAGCCTGATGGGGGACTCAATCCCAGGACCCAGGATCATGCCCTGAGCCAAAGGCAGACACTCAGCCCCTGAGCCACCCAGGCATCCCTTGAATTGTTTTTAAGAAGACAATTTCTAGTTTTTAGCTTGAGACTAAATGATAGAAAAAATATAATTTAGAAGGTACTGAATGGCACTCCCCCTCGCCCCCATTCCGAGGCTGTTGGTTTTGAGGTGTTGAGTGTTTGCAGCACAGTGGAAACGCTGAGCTATACAAATATATTTCTTCCAACACACAGAAGCTTTGCGCCGCCTACAGTAGCCGGCGTGCCTTGCAGTTCACACATTCCAGGTGATTTGGCTTGTAATTCTCTTTGCTCTCTTACTTATTCAACACTTTTTGTAGATAGCCCTTTGGGTCATATCTGTGTCCTCCGACCAGACACAGAAAAGCCAGAGCCTCCGTTCTGGACCTCTGTGTTCTCTGCTGGGAGCACTTTCTAGCTGTCCGTGCAGTAGGTAAGAACAACACACTGTGATTTGGAAATGTTTTTCATTTTCTTCTTTTAAAAAAAAAAAGTAGACTTAGCTTTTTTTTTTCCCCCCTCAATCAATCAGGAAAGTAATACAAACGCATTATAGGTTTGGAAAATTATCAACAGGCAGAATCAACCATTCTATCTGTCCATTATTCCTACAGAAAATTACTCAGAGACAGCCAGTATTAACATTTTGGTGAATTTCCTTGTAGCCGTCTTTCCCCCAAACAGAAGTACTTAAACCCTATATGCCTTTAAATTTGGCATTATATCACATAAACAGTTTTTTCTTATTTATTTCAGGAAACATGATATTGTCAGCATTTCCCCAGTGTCCCTCCAAAACTTAGTTGAAAACTTTGTCAGCTAAGCTTCAATTCAGCTTAGAGGCACCTGGGTGGCTCAGTTGGGGTTAAGCATTTACCTTTGGTTCAGGTCATAATCCTGGGGTCCTGGGATCGAGCCCCACATTGGGCTCCCTGCTCAGCGGGGATCCTGCTGCTCCCTCTCCTCCTCCTCCTGGCTATACTTTTGCGCTGTCTCTCTCTCTCTCTCTCTTTGTCAGATAAATAAAGTCTTTTTGCTTTTTTAAAAAAACAAAAAATGAGTTTAGAAAAACTAGTTGACAATTTAAATTTTAACACCTGATTAACTGTCCACTCTGCGGTCATTTCATGTTAATAACGAACACTTATTATTGTGTATTGGGGTGGTTTTACGCATAGACTGGTCGCAGACAGTGGTTTTGTTCAGTTCATACTGTGATCATGCTGTGTGTGTGATTTAATAATCTGTACTTTTTATTTCATATTATTAACATCAGCATGTTTCCATATCAATATACCTTTTCCACAAGCATAAATACTCATGGTTGCCCATGAAACAGACTTGCAGAGAACAGATGCTGTGTGCTAAACTATCTTGCCTTCTCTCCATTTACTGCCAGTTTTTTCTCATCCTTGCATCAGGTTAGTCCCACTCTGAGTCCTCTTCATTCTGACATTCACTTTACTCTGTCCAAGTGGAAATGCACCCACCTCGTCACCCCTGCGCGTCCTCAGTTGACCTGATTTTACCTCTCTTCTGTTCCTCTCCCTTGTTTTGTTTTCTTCAACGTGTTGCTTTGCATTCTTTTGACTTTCTCTTTCCTTTGGATTTAATTTCTTACATTTTCCCTCACGTTAGGGCTAGGGTGAACGGGAATCTCTTGGATGTTCTTGACAAAAAGGGATTATTTATTTATTTATTTATTTATTTATTTATTTATTTATTTTGCAGTGGGAGGAGAAAACGGTGGCTGTGCTCTTACGTCTCCTTCCTTTTATTTTCAATAACAGATGGATATCAGTATTGACGAATAGCAAAGAAGAGGCCCTAACCATGGCCTTCCGTGGAGAGCAGAGCACAGGAGAGAACAGCCTGGAAGACCTGACGAAAGCCATTATTGAGGATGTCCAGCGGCTCCCCGGGAATGACGTCTGCTGTGATTGTGGCTCGTCAGGTATTTGCCCCCAAACATGAGCCAGCTTGTTCAACAGCCTTTTTCCTCCCATAGAATAAAAATGAGCTAGTTATTTAAGTCTTTTTATCTCCTTACGAGCATAGATATACACCCACCACACATTTCCAACTGGAATGGTCCTACCTGTGAGCTGCTCTAACACATGCTGTTTGCTCAGCCTGGCAAACTCCCACCTGCTCTCCTCAAATGCCCCAAATGGCTACCTGCCCAAATGCTTCCAGTTAAACGAGCCCCATGGATATACGGAGAGAGCACTGGACGTGGAGACCATCATCCTGGTGTTGAATCACCAGCTGGCTTGGATGACCTCATGCTGAGTGCCTTTACTGTCCTCATCTTCTGTTTCCTATCCTAAAATCGGATAATAAACCTCTTTTGTTCTGAGGACTTCCTGAAATGCTACATATGAAACCATCCCAACACATTGTACATTACTTTCCTTCCTTTCTGTTCAGTGAAACCCCCCCAACCTCTATGTCACGCGGGTGTCTCCTTCCCCAAGCTCCTGATTTCAGGTAGCTTCTGTATTACGTATGTATTGACGACAGGTAACATGCATTCAGTGCTTACATTGTAATAAGGATTCTGCTAGTTGTTTTAGCCTGTATTTTCTTACTGAATCTTCGCAGATGCTCTGTGATACACTGATAACCTTTGCCATTTTACAGCTGAGAAAAGTAGGGGACTCTGAGAAGTTAAGTGACCTCCCAAGGTCACACATCTAGTAGGGATCAGAAGGTGGACACAAACCTGTGCTTCTTAAGCTTTATGATATACTTTCTAATGGTTTTCCTTGTGAAAATGGACTCTCCGTACAACATGCCACAAGCATCTCGGAGACAAATCTTCCAGGTTCTACTATGTTCATGTGCATGTGTGATAGTGACTCACACACTCACATAGTGAGGATGTGGCAGTGGAGTCGTTAGTACTCGGGTATTGACCTCTCAGAAACAAGCTTTCCATAGAGAGTGAACCCTGACAGTTTTGGTAACAAGGAAATACTTTCCCTGGTGTGGAGCCCTTAGGGGCTGTAGAAATAGCTTAGGCCTGTGAAAAGAAGTCTTTGACGTTCAGTATTTACAACTGTCTTATTACCAGGAAGTGCTTGTGGAGAAGCCATGACCAGGGTTGTGGGTTAATGCAGGTTGTAACTGGGAGGTTAATGACAGCTTATGCCATGTCCCCATGAGCTGCACATCAGTCTGTGCAGCTGCCAAGAAAGACACAGGTGCTTAGAGAGGATGTTTCATGGGGCTTCACAGGAAAAATCTTTCTCACATTTTCACAAGAATGAAGAACTTAATTCTGTTTTCAATTTAATATTGAAAGAAAAATTTTTTTAAATTTCTTTTATCACCCATATTGCTCTCCGAGAAGCTGGTAAGCTTCATATGAGCCTCTAGGCTAAACTGAAAGCATCTGTGTCTTCCATTTAAATCTTTCCCTATTAATTCTTAACAAGGTTTACCACTCTTGTTTTAGTTTCCTTTGTAGTTGGCACACTAAAATTTGGTATCGTGTTTGTTTCATTGTCTTCCAAATGTTCTTTCCACACAGAACCCACCTGGCTTTCCACCAACTTGGGTATTTTGACCTGTATAGAATGTTCCGGCATCCATAGGGAAATGGGGGTTCACATTTCTCGCATTCAGTCTTTGGAACTAGACAAATTAGGAACTTCTGAACTCTTGGTAAGTAGTGACCTGTCCTTGGGAATGACTGCTGTCATAAATAATACATGGCTTTGGACTGTTCTTTTTGCTGAGTACAAAGAATTGCAGTTCCTGAATTTAGTGAATTTGCATGGGTATTTAAAATGTAAATTTGTGGTATGTAATGTTGACTATTTCTTTTTCCTTTCTAAAGAACTGATGAATCACACATTTGTATAATTAGTTCACCTAAACTGGCTCTTTTCTCCTGGGATGGGCTTTTTCAAAGCTGCCTTCTTCTTTCAGAATTAGTTTTCACATGATTGACTCAAGATGATTGACTAAAAGAGCAGTAAAGGGAATTAGGTGTTAAACTCAAATAATCACTTTTCTTAGTGGCCTGAGTTACTATAGTGAATAAAGAGTTTTTCTCTCTTTTTACTATTCGTAAGTTTGTTACAAGCCCCCCATGAATTGTGACCTGTTAGCTACCGCCAAAAAGCCCATCACTCGTTAACCCGAAACTTCTAAGCAGTGGTGGGTCAGTCTGTGTTGTGTTAGCCCAATTGAGGAAGTAGCAAATTTAGGAAGTATCATACTAATGCTTAACTCCTTGATTCACATCAGAATTGAAGAAAAAAAAAAAACTCTGATCTTATTATACCTAACACATTCTTCTTTAGTCTGGAAGTGATATCACTCCATCTCCTTGATTTAAGGTAATGAAACCCAGTTGACAACTAGAAATATGGATAGTCCAAATCTTAGACACTTGCCAAGTGATAAACCCAAGAATTTTCCCTCAGAGACCCGATAGCATGAATGTTTCTTAAGTTTTGTGTTGCTCCCCAAATTATCTGAACAACCAGAGGTCCTTCAGGACAGATTTTCCTGGAAGGGTCTTGAACTCAGAAACTGCTCCCTGCAGCATCTTTACATGTACCCCAAATATAAAGGAATCCTACCTCTTCCTCTGCCCAGTAAATCTTCTCAGTCTAAAAATGAGGTATGATAGAGATTGAAAAACAGTTGCTACCGTTAAGCATTTAACCTAGATTCACATGTATAACCTGCTGTCTAATCTCAGGGTGTATGGGGTGAGGGGGTTATATCCTATTCAACATTTATCAACATTGTATTTATAAAAATTATTGGTTATCTTATCAATGGCCCTGCAAGTCTGTTGGCTCCTACAGGAAGGAATACGGTTTACCCCTCTCTTTATTTCCAGCACTCCAAGGTTCCATGCCTGGCACATAGTAGGTCTCCGTAAATACCTGTTGACCAGATGAATGGATGGTTTGTATCCTGAGTCAAATGAAGGAAAGATACACATTCACAAATCTCAAAAGCAAATCATAGGAAACGTTTAAACTAGTAAGTAAAGAGTGGCTGAACTGTGTTTTGTTTATGTTACAGCTGGCCAAGAATGTAGGAAACAATAGTTTTAATGATATTATGGAAGCAAATTTACCCAGCCCCTCGCCAAAACCCACCCCTTCAAGTGATATGTAAGTACTTCTAATACACTGAATTCTTTACCATTCTTTAATTAAGCAGTGGCTTAATGGTTATAGTATTTTTTTTCTCCAGAGGAAAACCCAATAGGAAAACACAAAGCAAAGTAAAGTATTTTGCAGTGCATTTCTGGAGTGCACAGATGATGTTTACTACACCGTCCCCTAGGTAGCTACAGCTGCATCTGCTCTGTGGAGAATATGTCTTCATAAGGGTGGTTATCTCCAAATCACGGCATGTTATGATAAACAAGAGACATACAAAAGCAGTGGCCAGTTCCTATTAGATGAGCCAAAGTCCAAACGCTTACCGGTGAAGCTGTGGGGAAACAGACGCTCTGTCTTGGGCACTGCTGATGGGTTTGCTAATGGTACCCTGCGCAGGAGGAGCAATCACCATATTTATCACAGTCATTAACATCACATCAACTCTCACTTTGCAGTGTCACTTCTGAGAATTTACTCCTGTTCTGTATAGGAAGAGATGAGGAACAAAAACAAGCATTTATCTATAGGCCTCTGATTAAAATAGCTTAGGGTACAGCCACATAGAAGAACTCTATGCAGATGTAAAAAGAATAAGGGAGCTACTTATCCTGATTTAGAACAAACTCCAAGAATTATCATTAGATAAAAAAGCAAGGTGTGGAGCACTGCACCAAAACCTCCTGCCTTCCAGTCAGGGGAAGGGTGGTCAAAAACACATAAACATATTTATTTGTGTTTATGGGAAGAAACACAGGCAAAAACACAGGAAACTAATAAAAGTGCTTACTCTGGGGTGGTCGTGGTCATGAGCCCTCCTCAGTAAACAATTTTTGGTATCATTTTTATTTTTTGAGTCATGTGAATATTTGAACTTATTAAAAAATATTTTCACATTGAATTTACACTTAAAATTCTTAAGTACCATGCATGGATAGCAATACAGCTCCTGGGGATCCCTGGGTGGCTCAGCGGTTTAGCACCTGCCTTTAGCCTAGGACGTGATCCTGGGGTCCCAGGATCGAGTCCCACATCGGGCTGCCTGCATGGAGCCTGCTTCTCCCTCTGCCTATGTCTCTGCATCTCTGTGTCTCTCATGAATAAATAAATAAAATATTAAAAAAAAAAAAAAGGAAGACAGCTCCTATTCCAGTTCAACTAAGCAGGGAGCCTTTGTGAGGTAGATGCCCACCCGAATGTTTGCCGAGCCCCTCCTTGGGGGTTACTCAGGCACCACGTCCACAGAGCACTGAGACAGTTATGGGGCACAGTCAAGAAACCTGATGTTTTCATTCCAAAATCATGAGATACAATCTCCCAGCAGGCCTCTCAGCGGTGGTCTTTCCTTGAATCCAACAAATGCGTGCTTCATGCTCACTGCATCCTTTGCAGTGTGTCAGGTGCTGGGGAACAGGCAAAATATAAACTAGATGTAAACTCTGTCCTCGTGATGTCTGCCATCTGGAGAGGAAGGTGGCTATTAATCTAGAAATTAGACAGTCACTTCCTTATTCCTGTGAAAGTGTCACAGAAGAAGTCAGGGAAGTTGGGCACCTACTTAATACCCTAACCCTGTCTCAGGGCGTTGGGCTTAAACAACAGTGCTCAAGCTCCGTCCTAGCAGAAACGGTTTGGCTGTCTTTCCACACTAATGAGCACAAAACACACTGAGAAGTAAAGCTTTTTCAGAAGTGAATTTGATCACAAAACCGCCACGAACAAACACTATCTGAAGTTACGCCAAAGAGCGGGAAGCAGTGAGCGCTCCGATATACAGTGCATTCCTGCCTCAGCAGCAGTTTTAAATGTTTATGTAGCCCATACCTTGGAGGCATCACTTTAGGATAAACTTTGTATTTGTATTTCCTGCTTGGATTTGTATTTCCTGCTTCCTTCACGGTAGGCAGCCCACTCTGGCCCGTCTGTTCTGTGACCTCCCATGGTCATCTGGCTTCTCTCAGGCCTTCCCTCCAAAACGCTTGTGAGCCTCCATGTAATCTCTAACAGAGTGACTAAGTTTCCAGACTACTGGAATCTTTTTTTTTTTTTAAGATTTTATTTATTTATTCATGAAAGACACAGAGAAAGATGCAGAGACACAGGCAGAGGCAGAGGGAGAAGCAGGTTCCATGCAGGGAGCCTGATGTGGGACTCTATCCGGGGTCTCCAGGATCATGCCCTGGGCTGAAGGCAGACACTTAACCACTGAGCCACCCAGGTGTCCACCAATTCCCGAATCTTGATCTGAGGCAAGTAACCCCACCTGTCTGTGCTAGTCTCCGAGGGTGTGGTGAGGACAGAAGTGGTTGAGTCAGCAGTGCTTCGGGCAATATGTAGTGAATTCACCGTTACTGTCCCCACGACCATAGTCTTCATTATCACCATCCTCTTATTTGGCCAGCAACCCTGAGGAACAAAGCAGATCCCTGGTGACACACAGTTTACTGCCTCCTATTCAGCAGCTTCTATGTTTCTGGCACTCTTTTAAGTGCTGATGATACAGTAGTGAACACGACAGCTCCTCTCCTGCTTACATTCCAACTGTGGAGAGGAGGGCACAAAGCATGGTAATGAGTACTTTGAAGAAAATATAATAGGATAAGAAGATGAAGCATAGGAGGCATTGTCATCAGGATGTTCGAGGAATATCACTGAGGACTTGACATTTGATGAAGATCTAAAGGATATGAAGGACACACATGGGGTGGAGGGATGGGGGAGCCAGCCTGGGAGATGGAAGGGTTGGTGAAGATGCCCTGAGGCAGGAACGGGCTGGGCACATTCCTCACAGTAACAAGAAAGCAGGTATAGCTAGAGAGGCCTGAGCAGGAGAGTGGCCACAGACGCCATGCACAATGGAGATGGAACCAGGTCGCAGAGGGCCTTTTAGGTAATGAGTTGTTTGGGGATTTTATTTTCTGTGTGATTAGAAGGCTTTAAGCAGAGGGAGTCACCAGAATGCTGCTAAACATCCTACAATGCGAAAGTCAGCAACCATGACAAAGAATCATCCAGCCACTGTGTCACTAGGGCCGAGGTTGAGAAACCCAGCTGTGGCTGGTCTGTGAGGGAGAGATGGAGGAGCGGGTTTCACCAAGGAGAAACAACACCAGGTCCACTGAGAAACAATGATGGTGTGGACTAAGATGGAGTGGTGAAGGTGGTGGAAAGTAGTCGGATTCTCCATATGTTTTGAAGGAAGAGTCCACAGGATTTGCTGACCACTTCAAACATGGGACATTTAATTAAACTATAAATTGATACCCAAGGTTTGGGCCTGAGCGTCTAGGTAAATAGCAAATGCCATTACCTGCACCAGAGTGAATGGGAAGGGCCAGGTTTGGCACGGACACAAGGCAAGTTGTCTTTCATCAGCCATCGGGTAGAGCTCTGATGTCAACTTTCAGACACATCTGTTTTCCATCTTCCCTGTCACTCCATGTCAGAAAGCCTTTTACTGCCGGGGACTGTGGTTGAGCCCAGGAAGAGTTAAACATCATGCCTGTGGAGAGCTCAGCCACTTTCTGTAGCCATGGAAGTAGAGACCCAAGGTGGAAGTGCTCTTCAGAGTGGTCTGGGGCATCTCCCCATGCAATACTAGGTGCCCTCAGCATCATTTCTGCCAAATTGTTGTGTGGCATCTGCACGACATTTCTAGTGCTAAGAAACCTTCCCACAGATGGTGCCACAACTTAACTCAATACATGGAGACAGCTGTCTCAGATTTCCCTCCTATAGCTTCCTACCATCGATCCTCACTCTACCATCTTGGATAATACTAGAAAGGAAGCTTATATATGAACCCATGGTCATGTGTCATTCTTTGTTCCACATCTACTCTTGCTTCCCCGGAAGGCAAGAAGACTGGTAGGACTACTAATATTTTACAGATGAGGAAACTGAGGCATAGCTTTACCCCGGGTCACATGGCTAGCATCTGATATCAGAATTGAATCAAGCCATTTCATTCTTAAATCTGATACTTCATCTGTCACAAAGTAGCTGCCTTTCAAACTTTGTAAAGTCATGTGCAGTGGGAGACCAGAAGGCAGGCTTTGACCAACCTCTCACATGTCTGAAAGTCCTCCAGCTCATCAGGCCGTGGCCATCTTCAAAGGACTTTGACTTGAGTATAAAGGATACCCATAAAAGTAGGATCTTAGTCACTGAGCTGAATCTGCAAGTCACCAAAGGGCGTGTGCTACCATCAGTCAGCTCACCCCTTCATTACTGACCCAGAATGAAATGAAGAGGCATCAGCTTGGTCTTAAATAGTGATGCTGTGGGATGGGGGCGGGGGGGGAGTGGTAAGAAACAGCAGCAGCCTTCACAGATGGAATACCTTTTCCTGAGCAAGAAATCTTATGTCCCATGAGTTAGAGCTTTCTCAGAAAGAAAGCACTGTATAAGTACTGTACATTCTTTAATTCAAAACACACCAATGTGCTGTTCTCCCCATTTTCAGATGAAAAAGCTAAAGCTTATGAAAGATGAAGTAATTTGCCCAAGGTCATGCAGCTGGTATGCTGTAGAACTAGGATTTGAACCCAAAATCCATTTACTGCTTTTTTATTAAGTGGCTCATGTAACTGGGAAAATCATGGGATAAGTTCAGGTATGGCCGGCTCCAGGATGTCAAACAGTATCATCTGGATCCCAGCTCGCTTCCCCAACTCTTCTTTCCTTTCCTCTGAGAGGACTTCCATTTCAGCCTTTCACCAAAGGTGACAAAAGTAACCGTGGGCCACTTAGGTCAGATCCTCACCCCTGTAGCTGGGAGGTGGCTGGCCTCAGTCCCGGAGTTTGGGGCAGAACCTGAAGTGGAGAAAGGAAGAGTCCTCAAGAATAGAAACGCTTACACACACTCAGACTTAGGGAGTAACTCCCAAACTGAACCTGCAGGAAAGACAACTCCCCTTTATTCTGAAGCTCAGTGCTTGGCCTATAGGAGCCTCGAATTCCTTACCTGTTAAAATAGGGAGTTGTGCCACATGACTTAAAATTTTTTCAATGAACCTCTGGAAATTTCACTGGTATTTAAGAATTGTTCTTTTAAAATTTACTTTCAAAAATAAGTAATAAAATAAAATTTCTTAATTTCTTTGTATACTTCATATGTATCTGAATTTGAAGTAGTAAATACCAGACTTCTCAATCTGTTGCTCAAGGTGGAAAAGAAATCTGCTATGATCTGTGAGCTCATTAATTCTGTAACTATATATTGCTTGCACATACACTACTACATATATATGTCGGTTTCTTCATCCTGTCTGTGATGAGGTAACTTGGTTTAGAACCTGGTTTGTTTAAATCCTGAAAGAAGTACAGGTGAGTCTATCTCACTTAAAGAGAACTGTTTTGTTTTTTCAGAAAAATGTAGATTTTTCTTAGCTCATAGAAAATAAAAAATCTTTGTTCATGTTGTTTTGCCCTGTTTTAGGACTGTACGGAAAGAATATATTACCGCAAAGTATGTAGATCATAAGTTTTCAAGGAAGGCCTGTTCATCTCCATCAGCTAAACTGAATGAATTGCTCGAGGCCATCAAATCCAGGGATTTACTTGCACTAATTCAAGTCTATGCAGAGGGGGTGGAGCTAATGGAACCACTGCTGGAATCCGGACAGGTGAGGCTCCACTAAAACCATAAGATAAAACAGAATGTGGAAAATGAATGTAAAAGATACTGAGATTCTAATACATTGAGTGACCATGTCTAAATCAGGACAATTTGAGAGTGAGAGGAGTACTCATTAATAATTACTTCCAGGTAGCTGATATGAACAAAGCTGCAATAGGTAAAATAGGATCTGTGGTTACCCTACTTACACTCATCCTGTCCTTTTCAGGAGCTTGGGGAGACAGCACTTCATCTTGCAGTCCGAACTGCAGACCAGACGTCTCTCCATTTGGTTGACTTCCTTGTACAAAACTGGTATGCTTTTCATCTTCTCTGAATACACCTTATAAGTTAATGCAAACCAGTCTTCTCAGGGGCCCAGATCAGAAATCAACAAGCTTTCTGTAAAGAGTCAGGTACTATTTTTGACTTTGCAGACCATGAGGTCTCTATCACAGCTATTCAGCTCTACCATTGTACTGTGAAAGAAGCCATAGACCATATGTAAATGATTGAGCATGGCTGTGTTCCAATAAAGCTTTATTTAAAAAACAAATGGAGGGCCAGACATGGCCTATAGGCTATAGCTTGCCAGCTCTGGCCTAGAAAGATATAAAATCCTGTCTCTGTCAAAACCCACTGCATTAGGAAAGATGGGAAGACTTAACAGCACAGCTCCACAGCATCTGTGAGTTTTCATTGTTCATAATTTCACTCTAAAACTATAGTGTCGGGGTGTCTGGGTGGCTCGGTGGGTTAAGCATCTGCCTTCAGCTCAAGTCATGATCCTGGGGTCTTCGGATAGAGCCCCATGTTGGGCTCCCTGCTCAGTGGGGAGTCTGCTTCTCCCTCTCCCTCTGCGCCTCCCCACCCCCACTCATCCTCATTCGTGCTCTGTGTCTCTCTGTCTCTCAAATAAATGAAATCTTTAAAAAAAATAATAAAAAAAAACTGTACAGTGTGTGTGACTGATTCAATAGCTAAGTCAAATTTGGGACATAGTAATAGGAGTACAGTATTGAACACAGGAAGTTTGGACTTGCCATATTCTTCAGTGGGTAGTTGTGTAAGCCACGGATTATTAGGAGTAACTGAAGCTCATCCGAAGACAAGTGGTCAAAATAACAAGGGGATCTGAACCCACATGTGAAGAATGGTGCCTGGACACAAGCCACATTGTATGAATGTCCACCCCTCTCCTTGGTAGTACAGTGTAGTAGTTAAGAGTGTTGGCTCTGGGACAAACTGCCTTTTTTCAGATCCCTACTCCATCTTCCGTGCCATGATAGTCTTGAAAGCAGGTACTTCATTCTCTTTGCACCTTGGTGTTTTCCTCTGTGAAACAAAGATGGTCATAACCTACCCCACTGGGTGGTTGTGAAGATTTAATGAGCCAAGGTATGTAAAAGCTGAGAGTGTCTGTCCCATAGGAGGCACTCAGAAAATGCTGGCTATTGCTGTCATTATGTGGCTTATAAATGGAGGTGTAATGTTAGCAGCAGCATCGTTTTCCTTGCTTATAAGTAGTTCTCAAACTTGACTCCGTTGTTAGCACAGAAATAAGTGATTCATCTGTAGCTTTAAATTATTCATGCCCTATTTAAATGGCATTTTAAGTCATACTTTTTTTCTGGTAACATTTTAATTCTTCAGTGGGAACCTGGATAAGCAGACAGCCCTGGGCAACACGGCTCTACACTACTGCAGTATGTACGGTAAACCCGAGTGTTTGAAGCTTCTTCTCAGGAGCAAGCCCACCGTGAGTGTCGGTAAGAGCGTGACCAAGTGTCTTCATAACAAGAGTCAGCATTCAGTTAGCTAAAACTGAGACTTGAGTGTTACATTATAATCTGATTATTGTCTGCAACCTTTTCAATATATACCTTAGATAATTATGCCGATTTCTTTCCCCCCTGTTGTAGTTAACCAAGCTGGGGAGACTGCCCTGGACATAGCAAAGAGATTGAAAGCCACCCAGTGTGAAGATCTGGTAAGCAAAATGGAGGTGGGGTATCCATTAGACACCAGCTGCCTTAAAATGTCATTCTCAGAAGCTGGAATTGGGATAAAAGAAACAGATTCATCTCTCTGAACGTTGGCTAAAGAAATTCAGACAGGCACTAAGGTTACATTTGGAAAAGTGGTAGAATGATAAATTTGCCATTCCGTGTCTTCTCAGAGCAATTGTGACATAGGAGCTAAAAGGCATTTGAAAGATATTATTACCAGACAGGCTTATAAATTAAGGTCATGCTTTTTTTATGCCAAACCCTTAGGTTTTCCCTGCAGCTCAATAGTAAAGAAGAATTATTTGGGAGCTACGTCCAAAAACTGGGCGAGTTAAGTTCAGAATATAGTGGTTTTCAAAATATTAACTGCACAGCTTCCCCCTCCAGCCCCAGTGTTTTGACCCCATTGGTTCTTGTGTATCACCTGGACTTTAGCATAGCATGAATCTCTTACCAGTGGGGAAGGATGAGACAAAAAAATAAGTTCCATCCCCTGCGTTTCTGCCCAGTGCCAGCTGCAGGCCAGCAGGTGTACGTTTTTATTTTTAGGAGAATCCTGTGAGGAAGCTGTGGATCTTACCATCTTATAGATAAGAAAAGTGGTCCATGGATCAATCTAGGACTGTCTGACTTGAAAGGCTTACCTCTCCTACTGCACTAACTCTTGATTTTGCCTTCCAGCCAGGGATTTACACTTTAGAGGCTCATTTTTAAGAATGTTTAAGAAAGCTTTTAATTTGAGAGAGAATTCATGTTACCAAACTAAGAAAGACTCTGCATGTAATTCCGGGCAACTCCTGTGAAGCCAGTCCTCCAGCAGTTCAGCCCTGTAGACTCAGAGTTTTGCCCTACAGGCAGCTCCTGGTGATTCATTTGAAACCAGGACCCAGGTGGGATTTGCTCAGTGGTTATGTAAAAGTGGGATGGCTAACACTTCCAATAACGTGGCTATCCCTGCTGTTACTTTCAGCTTTCCCAGGCTAAATCTGGGAAGTTCAACCCACACGTCCACGTGGAATATGAGTGGAACCTGCGACAGGAGGAGATGGATGAGAGCGATGATGACCTGGATGACAAAGTGAGTGCAAACGGCACCTCTGAGTTCCTGCTGCTGCTCCCAGGTTTTCTGTGCCACGTAGATGAGATTGTTCTTTGCAAGACTGTGTCTGGTCTTTTGACCCAGGGCCAGTTACTTTGCTCCTTCTTTGATCCTTGTTGGGTTCCACAGCTGTATTAAGGTTCTCTGGAAAACCAGACCCAGTATGGTTGAAGGCAGAGGGAGAGAGATCCGAATTTATCTTTAGGAATTGGCTCATGTGATTGTGGGGGCTAGTGAGTACCTGGGGTATGAGGTGGGCTGGTGAGAACTGATGGTGTGGTCTGATGTCTGGAGGTCCTCAGTATCTTCTCAAGAGCCTTTCAGCTGATTGGAGGAAGCCTACCCACATTATGGAGGGTAATTGCTTTTATTGGAAATCTAATGTAAATGTTAACTACATCTAAAGAAAATCCCTTCACAGCAGCATCTAGACCAGTATTTGACCAGACACCTGGGTGCCATAGCCCAGCAAGGTGAAGACATAAAATTAGCCATTAGAACAGCTACTTCATAAATAAAATGCTGGGAGATAGTAAGAACTTGGGTATGGACTAGGCAGTGGGAAGCACGTTTGTCTGTGCTACCTCAGTAATTATTACCAAAAGCCCACTATGGTGTTGTTACTGCCCCATATTATAGAAGAGAAAACTGATGCACACAGATTTTTGCAACCTGAGGTCTTAGGGCTAGTAAAGATACTCTCAAGATTAAACCTAGTTTTCTCTGACCCTCATGGGTAGTTCAGAACTACCTTTGGAAGTTCATTCATGCAGTTTTCATCAGATACATATTTTTACTTATTTATTTATTTCAGAGAGAGAGAGAGAGAGTAAGGGGAGGGATGGAAGGAGAGGGAGAGAGAGAATCTCAGACTCCCCACTGAGCATGGAGCCTGATGCGGGACTTGATTCCAGAACCCTGAGATAATGACCTGAGCCGAAACCAAGAGTCAGACACCCAACCAACTGCCATCAGGTGCCGCACGTTGGATATGTATTGAGCCTTTGCTCTTCCCTAGGCAGCACATAAGGAATAGTCATACAAAGGTGTCCTACTTTAAGAAGAGGCAAATTATAATGGATAACCACTATAATAAGAGCTTGGGGAAATCCCTGAGATATATTCAGAGAACAGAAAAGTTGCCTCAGCCTTGGAAAGCAGTGAGGAAATTACCAAGAAAGTACCATTGAAGATGGTTTTCTGAGAGTAAGGAGGAAACTTGCCAGCCAAAGAAGTGGGGAGGAATGCATCTTTCCAGAGAGGGAGAACAGCATGTGCAAAGGCCAAGGGGTTGTGATAGAGCTGGAAGTCTGAGGAATGGTTAGAAGCACCTTGTGTGAGGTGTGTTCAAGTGGATGGGTGGGTGGGTAGGAGAGGCGGGAGGCTGCCCTGCAGGATCAGGGATCCCAGATCGGGAAGCAAGTTATGAGCCAAATTTGGCCTTTGGGCTTTCTCCAAGCAGTCAGAAGCCAACAGAGATTAATTGTCAAGGGAGCAAGTTTTCCCAGCAGCTCTGGCCTCAGTGTAGAAAACGTGCTGGAGCTGAAAGCAGCTGCAACCAGGGCTATTCAGGAGGCCTGTGCTTCGGTGGCGGCTGGTGGGCGCCTGCACCAGGCGGAGATCCCAGGGACGTTTCTGAGCTGTCCACGCAGGCCCTGGTGGCTCTGGGTGATCCTGAGGCTTCCACCTTGGGAAGTTATGGGGATGCCACCGCCGTTGCCAGGAGTGCAAACCCAAGGGACGCCTTGTAGGCAGTCGAAGACAGTTTAGGATCCGAAGGGATAGGATTGGACCCACAGGTGGGTTTCAGGGCCACAATGTGGAGGCTACTTTCTAAGGGAATATAAAAAAGAAAAAAGAGGTGAGGACTGAGAACTGACGGGAGAGGGTTGGGCTGGGAAGGAATCCACCGTAGAGACCACATGTGGGGGGAACACAGGTCAGTGCTGGTCAGTGTCCTGCGGAGGGCAGGTATTTGTTAAGTTAAAGGTCACCTGTGACCATGCCCTTAAGCTCCTGAATGCCTGCTTGCTAACCAGTGTCTCCCTGCTCTGACCCTGGTAATGGGGAACCGCGTCCTCCTCTTGTGCTGGGGCATGGCAGGCAGGTAGCCGCAGGAACCCCCCCTTCCCGACGGAGCCTGAGGTGTGGGCCTCGGGGAGTTCCTCACCTGCTGCTCTATTCTGTCATCCGCAGCCGAGCCCCATCAAGAAAGAGCGCTCCCCGAGGCCTCAGAGCTTCTGCCACTCCTCCAGTATCTCCCCCCAGGACAAGCTGTCACTGCCGGGCTTCAGCACCCCGAGGGACAAGCAGCGGCTCTCCTACGGCGCCTTCACCAACCAGATCTTCGTCTCCACAAGCACAGACTCGCCCACGTCACCGACCGCAGAGGCTCCTCCGCTGCCTCCTAGAAACGCCGGGAAAGGTACGGACTTAGAGGAGGGCTCTCCCCCTCCGTCCTCAAAGCTGGCGGTCTGCGCAGCTTTGAGGTAGAAATTGCGAGGTGTCTCTGAGTGGCAGGGTACGGAACGTGATGTCGGGGACAGCTGGAAACCGGGGCCTTGCCATTTGCTAAGTACCAGCTGTAAGATGGTGCTGAGAGCGCCCCTCGTGTGTTTGCCGTGCTCACCTCACAACAGTCCTGTGAGGTATGTGCTTTGGTGCCCACTTTACAGATGAGGAAACTACGGCTTATGGACGTAGAGTGACTTGCCCACGTCCACACAGCCTGTGACAGGTAGAGTTGGGATTCAGTCCAAGGTCCACCTGGCACCAAACCTGTGTTCTTTCTTATACGATGTAGTGTGGAATTGTAGTATTCCTTCGAAAAATTAATTGTCTCTACGCTAAGCTGTCTGTCTTCTGGACATGTTAGTAGTAATAGTTAGCGGTACATCGTTGTTATGGAGCACTCGCTTCATGACAGGTCCTAAGCCTAGCACTTCTCATTTTATGCTCACAAAATGAGGTGGGTTGCAGTTGCTGGCATCACGCAGACAAAGGGGATTGTGGTTCAGAGATGTTCAGTGATTGGCCTAATGTTCTCAGATCTCTGTGATTCTAACCCAGGTCCTATATGACCTGAGCCCTCTCTCCTGTGCTTCCTCATGAGGATTGTTTTTCCACGAAACTCTACCTGGGAAGAATCTTAGCCAGAAGAGGGGCACTGTGTAGCGCATCGTCCGGAACCTCCACCAGGGCCAGCACCAAGGGCCGAGGGTCCGCTGGCCTGGTCTGTGGCAACAGAGTGCTTGTCCCATATCCCACATCCACAAAGAGTGCCCAGCTCTGAAAGTCAGTGTTCCCACCTGTACAGAGACCACCTAAGATGCAGAAATGGCAACATTTAAAGAGCCACCAGGCCAGGGGGAAAGTAAGAGGTACCCAGAGCGGCAGCTTGGGGTTCGGTCTTGGCCAGCAAATCCAAGTGCAGGCTTCTCCCTATGTGCTCAGCTCATGCTCACACAGGTTCCGAGGGCCTCTCCCTACACAATGCCATGCCTATTTGAATCACACTGGGGCTATTTTCTGAGAAATGTGAGCTTTATTCAGAACAGCGTTTTTTCAGAGCTTATTCTCCATTGAAATAGTGTTATAAATGGGAGCTGTGTTCTTAGAGAGACCCCAAATGGCCTCATAGACCATAAAATAGTGGAGAAAAGCTAAAATAAGGTTTTGGCATGAACGGTGCTCATCAAAGATCCCTAGTAACCATAATGTAAGAGTGACAGCACACGTGAGCCAGTGCTTTGAACCTCCAGTGTTTTTCTTACCCATCCATACATTATACAAGAATGCACGTAAATAAGGCATCAGATCCCTTATTCAAACACTAACCTCTCAAGCTGCAGGTATGTCCTACACAGTAAGAGAACTGTGCTGCTTCCCACCTCTGTGTGTTCCTGTTTTCCCGTCGGGGTAGCAATCGGATAAGACCAGAAATTTCCCTTTCTGTACCCCAAAGAGGACCGTGAAAATAAAATATAAAATAATCAAAGAAAACTCTGAGAGGGCTCATAGCCCCTGACTGTGCTCACCAACATAAGAGCGATGACCTGTCTAGACAGGATGGGCCTCAGGTCATTGAGAATTTTGGAAAAGGTCTACAAAAGAGAAAGACCCCAGAGTCCTGGGAACCAAGAGGCTGCCTCACCTCCCTCCATCCTTTTCTATAATTCTATCTCAAGAGACCACAGAAACCCATAAAATATACTATCTGACTCACTGCCAAGCATCTGTCTCCTGCCTTGAATAAATTCTAGCTAGCTCCCTAGCAGAGGCACAGAAAACAAAGACCAAATGTATTAAAGGATCCAGCTGCTAAAACAAGTGCTCAGAGACTTGGCCATAGTAACCATGGTCAGCCCTGGACAAGCTACTAACCCCAAGGCCCACCTCCCCAAATCCTGACATTGAGAACAGAAATCCCTGTCTACTAAAACCCGAGTGCTCTTCCGGGCTGCTCATAGTGGGGCTTCAGACACGGACAGACACCAGCAGCGTAGGCTCCCCTTGACTTTCCAAGGGGCTTGAAACGGGAGCTGTGCCCTGCAGCTAGCCTGGCTCGTGTGTCCCTACATTTGGGAAAGTGGTAATGTTTAGAATGGAAATCTTAGAAGACATTGTTGAAAATCAGCTGACGCTCTGTGCAAAGATAATTCTCCTCTGTTTTGTGGCCCTTATGTGTTTTTCATTTCATTCTGTTGAACCATTTGCATGAAAACAAGGATGTCTTGAATCTGTCGTTTGGTTGCTCATTTTCCATGGAAGTGACGTCGAGCTCTCTGCTTGCAGCAATGGTCATTTCCACCCTGTGAATTTAGGGCTTGGACGGATGGTGGCTTCCGGCGAGGCGTTGCAGACACTCAGGATAAAGTCCCCAGTAATAAGAGGAGTATGGGGGGGGAGGGGAAGGAGAAAGAATTATTCTGACTCAGCACAGGAATATTTTCAAGAATCTCCAGCTGCCTCATCAAAATGCAGGGAAGTTGGACCTAAATTGCCATCAAGCAAAGCCCCCTTGTGCTTGAGCAGAGCGCCAGTCAGAGTGGGGAGATTTGGCAGTTCAGAACCCCAACTCACCGCCCTTGAGCCTTAGACATATTTTGCTGCCTAACCTCTTGAAATGTGAAGCTGTAAAATTAAGTATGCAGACATTTCTCACCGAGAATGTTTCTCTGCTCAGTGATTAGGACCTGCCCCCTGGCCCCCAACGTTACAGTATGTTTAAGACTTGAAATTCTTAAAAAAAAGACTTGAAATTCCTAAAAAAATAAAAATAAAAATAAATAAAATAAAATAAAAAAAGACTTGAAATTCTTCAAGCTTGCCAAGATTGGTTTGTTTCTTACCATTAAGCAAAAAATTAATGTCCTGGAACCTGGACTTTAGAGAGCTGGAAGGATGCTGCAAGGTGAGTCAGTCTGCTACCCATTGTACAGCCAAGGAAGCTGAGGCAGGGAAAGGGTGAGGAACTGAACTCAGGCCACACAGTGGCTGTTAGAGGGTAGAAAGTGAAAATGGCCCTTAGAGACTCATCAGACCGTCTGGTTTCTTCTTTCCCGAGTTGAGGAAGGCGGTCGGTCGATCACTGTCTTGCCTTCCTCATGATTATCCTCAGAATCCAGTGAGATAGTATGTGGAGAAAGCATTTTGTAAAAGGCAGAGCCCTGAAGTCCTGGGAGAGGCGCCCCCTAGGACTGTCATGTCAGGCCGTAACCGCAGACATCTCTAGAACACGGAGGAACATGGTGAGCAGGTGGTGCCGTCATCCCGTCCCCCAGAGCAGGACCAGAGACATGCTGCGTGCCTGTGATTGGTTGGCTTGATGTAACTGTTCCTAAGTGACTTAAAGCTGGAGAGCTGTGGCTTTCTCCCACCATACAGTTGCACACGTTTTACGTAACAGGGACACAAACGGGACCTGACACAAGATGGTACACAGGGTTAATGAGGCACACAGGAAGCCTCTAGCCAAGCGCCTAGAGTAAGTGCCGGGGAGGGCCCTGCTGCTGACACCGCGGCCACCGTAGCTCCTCGCCTCTAAAAAAGGCTCCTTTGGGGAAAGAGAGGCGAGGTGATGTTCCCACCGCCCCCCGGTTTTATAAATGAGCAGGTGCTCTCCAGTGAACCTGGCTAAGTGCAGGCACCATGTACCAAGGAAGGGATTTGTTAGGGAAATGAAGGGCAAATCTGACCACAGGAAGCTTACTTCACTTAACTAACTTTTCAAGCTTTGAGAAACACAAACCGATGGTACGTTAGTGACGGTTTTCTCCCGTCAGTTCGTGGAGTTGGAACCCTAGAACCTGGCATCACGTAGCCCCAGTGACTATCGGGCGGCTACCTGTACGGCTTCCTGCCGCACTTCAGACACGTTTTCTGTAGCGTGCATGCCTGCTTCGGACAGGCTGCAGCCCGGGCTGAGAGGAAGCAGGCGGTCTGCGCAGCAGAATGGTGCTGGCCGGCCGACGGCCCCAGGCAGGCCTTGCTCGTAGGTGCTCGCGTCACAGAGGATGGCGAACAGGTGCCACCCCACCATCAGCTTAGGTGAGGAGACCTCGTGAACCCCAGAGTGAAGCTTGAGAGCAAGGCGCATCGTCTCAAGCCATCGGCCTGTAGAGCCCCCTGCAGGGGCCTGGGCAGCTAACCCTCTCCCCACCCTGGCTTCTTCTGAATATTTAGCTCACCTTGCTGAGCTTCGGGGTCTTCCTGTGAAAACCAGGATTGGGTTGCAGACCTCGCAGACTCACCGCTTAGAGACCGTGAAACAATGTGGTAACCAGCGCATAGCGAGCGTTCACCAGATAGGAATCCGTTTGATCCGAGTGCATGTATTCGGTTCAACAGATGGGCGGTGCCCTGGGAACACAGCCAAGGGGTACAGAGAGAGCAGAGAGGGGCGCCATGAGGGGCGGCCCAGCAGGAGGGGCGAGGGAGTCTCCGTTTCCCTGTCCTGCAGCACAGGGGCTGTGAGTGAGCAGGCCTTGTGTCCCTGGCATGGGGCGGGTGTGCTGTGTCACTGCTGAATGAATAAACCACAGCAGGGCCAGTGAAAAGCCTGTCCCAGGAATGTGTGGCCAGAGTCTGGAGGGGACACCCCTAAAACTACGCCAGATACCTTGGGGGTGTGATGGTTGACTTGCTGAAAGTCTTTCTACAGAATGTGTGCAGCATCACAGCCAAATAGTTGCGTGAGCATCTTCGACATTTCTGCACCTTTCATTCAAGGCTCATGGCAGTAATCAGAGAGGGCGGGGAGGGGGCAGGAAGGGAGGACATGAAGGTGGCCTGCCACCGTCAGGGGCATTGCAGGATGATAGCGGCTGGCCGAGGAAGCATATTTTCTTCATAACAGCATTATTCCTATACTGATGACTATAGTTTCCTGGGTGTTTTTTTTTTTTTAAATCTCATGAAAAGATA